GCCTTCACTCCGTGCCACGTGCCATCTGCTTTGAGAGGTGGCCCTGCTCAGTCGTCACTGCCCTTGCAGGCCTGTGTTTTTAGGCCACGGCACTTCCCGCCTTTGCTGGTCTCCCCAAGCTGTGGTTCTCTCTTGTTCAGCGCATCCCTTGTGCTCCGTGAGGCTCAGAGCACGCTGGCCGCAGACACGCGTCCATCTGTTTCCCTGCCTGAGAGACACGGAGGAAAGCACGCACGCTGTTCCACATAAGCCCCAGAGGAAAGGACTCCGATCCCACCTGAAAGGCTGATACACATGCCTGCGTTTACCCAATAACTTAATCTGCTCAGCCTTAGAAGCAGAATTCTTTACAGGAATGAATTATGCAAGTCCGCATTTCTAATGCTTGCGAGTGTTTGAAGTCCTTAGAAAAACATGCGGTCTGTTTCCATTTGCCCTGTTGTTCTCCAAGGCAAATCACAAACATTTGGCCCTAAACACTTGAGTATTTTTTTAAGAATTTTTTTTCCTTGAAGGCCTCTGTGAAAGGTATCCCCTAAAAAACTACTGTATTCAGTGGCTGTCATAAAATATTTTTATTTAATTACTTTTTTATTTGCCTTCACCCTTTGGCTTAGATGTTTGCATTTGTATATTTTTGCTTCCTCTACTGCTAAATGTTTCAAGATCATTAGTAGCAGGTGAAATAAAGACTCTACCCCTTGACTTTCAAGCTGTCTAGAGTTTAGTTTGGACTCCTAGATATCAGAAAAGACACTAAAACCTTTTCAAACAGTAAAAAGGAAGTGCTGACAGGCAATATACTGGTGAGGAGAAAAGAGGGGAGCTGGCGTGGTGGCCCATGCTTACAGTCCTTGGCCCTCCTCAGGAGGCCGAGGCAGGAGGATTGAGAGTTCAGGGCCAAGCAGGGAAAGTTAGCAAGGGCCTGTATCAAAATAAAACTTTAAAAAATAGAATAGCTCGGACTATAGCTAAGGGTTGAGTGCCCCTGGGCTCTGTACACCCCACTGCGTCCTTGGGGCAGTCAGGAAGCCATTTCATAGGAACTCAACATATAAGGTGAGAGAAGTCAGTCCCTTTGTGTTTTTCTTTGAAGACTTGTATACAATACAAAAAAAAAATACGAAGGACTGACTTCTGTCACCTTATACGTTGAGTTCCTATGAAATGGTCCGTAGAGATCCTGAGTGGTTGCCTTCATGACTGCCCAAAGGACGCAGTAGGATTTACCAATTTACCCCTCCCTAAGCAAGCTGGGTGGTATTTATTTATACTGAGACCACGGGCAAGTGGAATTGAGGAGGACAGCTGAATGAAGCGTACATAGGAGCCGTGTAGATGGCAGTTTGCTGAGTGCCTCATAGAACTGCATCCTGTTACCTGCATGCGTGGCAGGAGGCCAAGGAATTCCATTCAGAAAAGGAGATACATGTGTAGGTTTTAACTTCATCATAAACCCAGTTTTATTTCTTTAAAGTTTGTAAAGGTGTGCTCTTCTCCAGCTTCTATCAGGAAAAGTCCACTGCCCTTCCCTGATACCAGCCTCTCCGGCCACACATTACAGTGAGGGTACCAGATAGCACCTTCTCAAGTGTCTCGGAGACTTTGTTGGTTTTACAAAATATTCATAGGTTAACAGCATAGAAATTCAGTGCCACATACGGGTTTTCCGAGAGCTTCCGTTTTCCATAATGGATGGAAAGAACAATATTTATGAAGTGCAGAGTGGCCTTGAGCAGATGGTATATACAGATAAGATCCAGCATCATGACCAGAGGTCAAAGGACACACTCAGTATAGGCTCCCATGTGACAGCTTTGAGCCACTTCTTGTGTCCCTGAGATTTATAAGACCTGGAACTGCAGGCTGGCAGGGAACAAGCAGTCCCACTGGTCTGCCTCCTGGTGGGCGTAAGCTCAGAGGATCACAGCACCCCTGGTACACAGTTCACACTTAGTCAAGTGCCTCTGCAGTCCTGCAGGTTCTCATCTCATTAATCACTGCAAAATTTAGAAATACTGCAAAGGTAAAAAGCTCTGTAGAAAAAGAAAACAGTGCTCAGTACTGAGTCCCCATGTGTATTCCTCTCCCCCAGTGGCACAGGACCAGGCCTGTCTACCTTTAATGTCTCTGTTGCTCCCTCTGCGGCTCTGGGAGAGGTCAACCAGGCTTCTGCTCCCTGCCCATGAAGAGCAAGACCAGAGGTGACCGGTGACCAAGGCTGCTGCGTCTGACATCCCAATAATAAATCCATTGTGTGAGTGAGACCAGTGTGTTCTTTAGGACTCCAACAAAATAAGCAAGGAGGTGATAGTTTACAGAAGTGCTTATCTGCCTTTCAGCTCTGCTCTGGGCTTAAGTTCTCAGGGGGGATTGAATGGATTTGCAAACAAATCCAGGGGCTGAAGGGGGTAAACAGAGTCAGCCCCACCACCCCCTTGGGGCGGGGAGGCAGCTCTTAGTGGATTGAACTTTGGCATGGGGTTTGGCCTGGTGTTCCTGAGCCTCTCCGTCTTGTCCTTGCAGCGGAGGCCTCTTGCTGAGACCTGTGACCCTGCCTCTCACGTGGCCTTTCCCTCAGGTCTTTATCTTCTCACTCCTGGAGGGCTGTGAAAGCCAGCTGAGTGGGTCTGCACAAGCACTGAAAGATTGTTTTCTTAAAGGATTGTGATTTCCATTTGTCAGGTTGAAAACTACAGGTGCTCAGACATTCCTTTGTGGCCAACAAATCTAGAGTTGACAGGTTAGAATTTTCTCATGGTTACTGTTAGGGAGGGGTGGTGATTGCAGGCCGACAAGGGAGAAAACTTGAAAGTAAACACTGTCACTTTCATGCATCTGAATATTTAAAAGAAGGCACATAATTTTTAGGATGAAATCGTGCCATGTACAATTGTTAAAGAAATGTCCGTGAACAAAAATTGCAAATATGTGCTTATTTAGTTAGCAGATATAATTGTAGCCTTAACCTTCTGATGGGGAATGGTAAGGGAATCAAAAGTGGTCCGGGGCGTTATGTTCCTGATGACTGATACATTGCTGTATTCACTGCTGATCCTCTCAAAATGTGTAAATACTAGGAAGGAAAATCTAATAAGTACAATGCATTAAAAACTCATGCAGGGGCTGGGGATATAGCTCAGTGGCACAGCGCCTACCTGCAAGCACAAGGCTGTGAGGTCAATCCCTGATCAAAAAAGAAAAAAAACTCACAAGACAGGTGTGCTGGCACACGCCTCTAATACTAGCACTTAGGAGGCTGAGCTGAGGCAGAAGGATCAGTGGGAGCTCAAGGCCAGCCTGGGGAGACCCTGTCTCAGAAAACCAGAAAAAGAAAAAAAAAATCATGCATAAAATTAATTTTTTAACAATGGTTCTGCTTCATACAACTAGAGATCTGCTTAAAACTAAAGTGGCCAAGGGCTGGGGGTACAGCTCAGTGGCTCAGTGTCTGCCTGGCAAGCAGGAGGTCATGAGTGTGAGCCATGGTCGCCCCACAAAAGAAAAACTAATGTGCCTACAAACTATATCACATTAAAAGGTGTAAAACAAAGGTCATGAGAAAGAAGAAGAACGAACTTAACTTGTATTTTACAGTTCACTTAAGAATCTATTACTCTTCCACATTTTGTCACTGGAATCCTGTGGTACACAAAGACAGAATTCATTGTTCCCTTAGAAGAAAGCATTGGTATTTCTGGCCATTCATTTTAATATGCAGACTCATATTTATAAACTGATCTGAAGATGTGAGCATTAGGAATAATCTGCACCAAGATAAGCCTACCGTCACAACTGCAGACATCCAAAGTCACTGACAGCTTAGACAGTGACAGCCTTAGGAGGTCAGGACTCCACCCTAGAGATCTGAGCAACCCCGGCCACGCTGACTGTGTGGTTTTCACAAGGGAATGCAGTTTCACTTCTTTGCTAGTTGTTAAATCTTTTAGTTCTCCATCATGTGTCTAATAACTCAGGGTCACTGGTGGGAACGCCTTCCTTGATCCTACCACTGACTCTGACAGCCGGCTCTTCCCCTGTTCAAGCAGACCCTGGGCTTCACCCACGCTGACCTGCCCTGGCTCTCTCAGTGTGTTCCGCCGCTGACTCTGTCCTTCTGTCTGGCCAGCACCTGTTGTATTTACTGAATCAATCGGTCCACGGGGCCTGAGACCCCTGCCAGCCTGGGCTCAGTGTTCACCCAGCACTGAGGCCGCCTGTCCTCACTTCCCCAGGAGAAGCAGCTCACTCTCCCCTGCTCACCGTAGAGGTTTCTAAAGACTTGTGCCAATTACACTTTTCATGGTGCTTGTTCGGTAGGCGCTGGCTGTGTTACTGAACCCACAGGGAAGGGGCATTCATGACTTTCTGAGTGGCTGTGGGGTGAAGGCCACGAGGCGACTCAGAAAGTGATTAAACCTAAGAAAACCAGCCAAGTGCCGCCATGGTGTATCACCACAACCAGCAGCCCTACGTGTTCCCCAGATGAGGTCCTACTGCAGGAAGAGACTTTAGTTAATTCTGATTGTAAGTGGTCATGTGCGTGTGCATGTGTGTGTGTGTGTGTGTGTGTGTGTGTGTGTGAGAAACCCTCCATACTCCTGAGTTAGGAGCACACATTTTTTACACATACACACCAGTGATTTGGAGCCACTTAGAGCAGTAATCAGTGCAGTTTGTAAGGTCTGATGTTTTGCTCATTAAGTGCTCATATTTAGTTAATACAGGAAATATTTTACCAAATACGCTTTGAAGGTGAGCACCTGTCATTCTTTTACCTCATTGCTAAGTACTCTGCAGGTGAGTTCTCCTGAGAGGTCCTCCTCCAGCTCTCCTCCGCCTCCAATGCCTCCTTAGTTTAGAGACAGGAGAGACTGCAGAGGCCTCACTTCCTAGCCCTGAATCTCCGTGGACAGCGGGCTGGCTGGCTGCAGTCCCTGCCGTCCAGTCAGGGCAGAACCCCAGGCCCAGCCTCACCTGGCCTCTGTTCTCCCTCTCAGAATGACGGCGGAGGGCAGCGCAGCCTCATCAGCAAGTGGACCACCTTCCTGAAGGCCCGGCTGACCTGCTCCATTCCCGGGAACGACGGGGCAGACACCCACTTTGATGAGCTGCGTAAGTCCCCGCTCCTCCCTCCCCAGAGAAGCCTTCCTTGCTGACTGAGTCCTTCAGGCTGTAGTGTATTTTAGCCCCGGACCCTGATTCTCGATAACACAGAGCAGCTTGCAAGAGCAGATCCCACAGAATTCGCACACATAAAGCATCCTGGGTGCCCTGGGCACTCAGTGGGCATACAGTGGGGACATGGGGGACTCTCACACACTGCCTGTCTGACAGACCCCTGTTAGCGGAACCTCAGCAATGAGCAGGAAGCTGTCAGCACAGGGATCTCTGCCTAGCCCCCTCTGCAGCCCTCCCGGGGCAGTGCTAGGGGCACAGGAGGAGCTGGGGCCTGAAGCAGGAGGCCCTTGCTGGACAGTGTCCAGAGCTCAGACTCCGAACACCTTCTGGACCCTGTCTTCTTAGGTGTCTTCCTGCATCAGTGAGGCTGCTGAGAAGCCATGGGTGGACTGTTCCCTCTTCCCTGCTCCTGACAGCTAATTCCAAAAGGAATCTTTTTAGCTGCCTGTGAAGTTATCACCATGAGCTTTTTTCTTCCCAAACTTGCACACTGATACCCTAAATAACCTTGTAGACACTATTATTTGCACATAATTCCCTTCCAATACTGCACCGGTTACACTGTAGCCACATTCCTGTAGACTTGAAGAGGCGCCTGAGTGCTACGTTGTTGCAATCACAGAGCAACAAGATTTTACCCCAAAGGGTAAGGTTGTCTCTGTTTGGTTTCTGTTTTGTATGGAACCACATTCTCCTAAAAGTAAACAGCTGTGGAGAATGTCCTTTGAGTTAGCTCATTTTTAAGTGTTTGGATTAAACAAGGGGAAGGGGGAGGTTAAATGTCCAACTCAATGTCACGCAAGGGAAGACTCTGACCCTTAGTTCCCGAGGCACAGACTAGCAGCTGGGTATGCTTAATTGTGTGCATAGTACACTTAACCGTGAGGTATATCATGTTTATTAAAAAGCAAACATGTAATACTGAAAAATAAAATGCAATTTTTTCCATTAATAGAAGATATTTATTTACTCCCTACAAGAGATGAGAGAAATCCTGTAGTATATGGAGTCTTCACCACATCCAGGTACGTTTAATGAAATACTTTCAATATTTTAAAGTCTGATTGTTTGTTTGTTTTGGTTTTGTTTGTTTGTTTTTGTGGTTCTGGGCCTCTGCCACAGAGCTACACCTCGAGGGCATCTAAAGAGTGTTCCTAAGCCTGGAAGCCAGTATAGTGGTATCTTCTCGTCCCTTTCTTTGTAGTAGTCGCACACTTTTGTTCACCAGTTCACGTAGTGTTCCTTACACATCTTTCAGGATCCACCTGGAAACTGCCCTCCTTATCCCGGCTCAGCTCTAGCACCTCAGAGCTGGCGCCCAGGGCTGGGGGAACCATCTCCAGCACCCCCTATGTCTGCACCTGATGCATGCAGTGCTCAAGGCCGCTGTGCGTGCATGTGGACAGGAGTACCCCTAAGACAAATGCTGACTGCAAAAGCCATACCCAGGATGCCTCCCTCGTCCTGCGGTCAGAGAGGGTGACCTGCAGAAATGCACAGCAAGGCCCGAATCCCTGAGTTGGATGCTGCTGGCTCTTTGGATCTCATGGGAGAAGGGAGCCTGTGAGGTAGATGGCTTGAGCGGCCCCAGGCGTGTGCAGTAGAAGTGGAGCTGGAGTCCCTCTCCTCTCCCCTGTGCTCTCCTTCTGCGGAATACCATCTCGCACAGAGTAGTGAGGCTCTGTGACCCGCTTAGAGCTTCTACTCACAGCTGTGAAGCTTTCTCGAGAAGGCGTGGGCCCAGCTGTCTCCTTTGACTTCATCCATCCGGGGACTCGCAGCTGAGTGTGGGCAGAGCGCTTCTCCCTTTGGGCGCGCACCACTGCATGGTCTTGGAGACAAGTGCAGTCCACTGCCTCTGTTGGCGTTAGTATTGAGGAATCGGAGCGATGCTGTGAATACAGAAGAGATGGCTTTGCTGTGTCCTTTGGAACAAATTCTTAAACTATTTTGTAGCAAATTATAGTTTAATTTCTTTCCTGTGGCGTGACCCTCCTGTAGTTCACAACAGCTTGTGTGTAGACTGGGGTTCTCTATTTTGGGATGGATCAGAAAGAAAACGGGGGAGTATTGTGGTGGTTCCAGGCAGGATGTGAACACTCTGCTGTGAGAATCAGGAAGACGCTGTGATCGGCACTGCTGTGGCTCTGCTTTCTGTTCCTTTACACCAGGCAGTGAAGGGCACAGAAGCACAGGCTCGGCTCCCGCAGGGTCTGCGCCTGGTCCTCCTGGCACCTGTCCATGCCTTTGAAGATAGTGTGTGTTCCCCACATGAGACGGGCATGGGTGCCAGGGAAACGTAGCCCCAGGTGCTGCCTTTTTTCCCCTATCGAGTTTCTGCCCACCCAGAGTGTGAAGCACACATCAGTTCTTTGTTCTCGGGGTGCTTTGTTGTTCTGTTTTCAAGGCTGCCCTGGAGACTGAGGCAGTGCTGGCCTGCCTGGTGCTCTGTTAAGTGTGAGACTGTGACTTACCTACAGCAGGACAGTGCCACCAGCCTCGAGCCTTGGGCTTCCCCAGCACATGAGCAGAGTGGGCCTTGGTAACCAGCACCTCCCTCCCCAGCAGGCCGTTTTCCAGGCTGCCTGCTTGTCACCTACTGTCACCTCCTGAGGCCTCATGAAAGTCACCCCAAGAATATTAATGACTACATCGCTCAAGCTGGAGAGGCGTGTGCTTGTCAGGATCACGTGGAGATGCAGATCTCTTAGGTCGAGAGAGGGCCATCTCTCAGGCAGGAGCAGGGACTAGTGAAAGGTTTATGTTCATAGAAAATGTTTTTGATTTTCCACGAACAAACCCAAAACCTATCTGACGAGTGCTAACAGTTTCCATCATTAGCGTGCCAAAGACTGCCGATTTCCTATGGGACTGCTTCCGAGACAGCATACGTACCCCAACTGCGAATATCAGACACGTCACTGCATTCTGAGGCTCAATTCCAGGAGCAAAGTGAAAAACACTGGTTATTTCAACCCTTTCAAAAGTCAGTTTAATAAAAATCATCTGGATAAATTACAAATGGCTACACTTTATGTTCACTCACTAAAAAGTGATACAGGAGGCAATGATTACTCACAGATCTAAATGATTACTATTTTAATAATGGGTAAGGTCACTTTTCACACTTTGAGCCCTTTGTAAAGCATTATTTCATGACTACCTTGGGTAACATAAAGAGTATGTGGGGACCTATAGTACCCCTTCCTCTGTTTTCCTCCTTGTCCTCCAGTTTTTGGGGCAGTCTAGTCAGTCTGTCTCCCAGGTGTCTGTGTAGACATCTGCCTTGGAGCACACCACAGCCATAAGCGGGGTACCACACCGCTGGGTGCCCAACACTGAGGGTCCCCTTAGCTCCCTGAGCCATGCTGTGACGGCCTTGCCCATGGCAGGCTGCTTGGTGACAAGCTCCTCGAGGACACAGGTGTGTTTACTTGCTGGCTGTGCCACTAGACAGAGCTTACCTGTCACCTGGCCTCCCTGGCGGCACCCGCAATAGCCAGGTCCTGTGCTCTCTTCCAGCTCCATCTTCAAGGGCTCCGCAGTGTGCGTGTACAGCATGGCTGACATCAGAGCTGTGTTCAACGGGCCCTACGCCCACAAGGAGAGTGCAGACCACCGCTGGGTGCAGTACGACGGGCGCATCCCTTACCCCCGGCCCGGCACGGTAGGTGTCCCGCCGCGTGCTTCACTGTGCTCCTGGCCCCGCGTTCCACTCCTGACTATTGTTGTAAATAACGCTGTTCCCCATAGCAGCATTTCTGCTGATATTTAGATAGCGGTGCTTTACGTACAGTGACTGAAGAGCATTTCCAGCCTCTGCCTGAATCTAACATCTTCCTTTGAATAAGAATTTTCAGTGCATGGGGGAACTGTGGGCCACAGTGTCATGAGTGGACAGCACTGTCCGTGGGAATCGCCCCAGGGTCTGTAGGTTCATGAGAATGATTTCCTATGATCTAACCCGTGCTGACTTCAGTTCTGCCCAGTTTTGGTAAACATACTCAGCTCGGCCACTGAATCTGTATGATCACCAAGACCAAATTTGGAAATGTCCACAATAATGCGCAGATGTGCAGCTCTCTCCTGCCTTCTTTAGTTAGTGTTAAATGATACTTGCTTTTTGTCTGCTTACAATGTTTTGATCCTGACTCCTCCCTCGATGTATGTTTTCTTTGGAATGCTGATATTGAAGTTAGAAACCTGATATTCTGATGTGAAAAGCTGCTACACAGCTAGCTACCACGTATGCTTTTCGTAATGAACTTCACTGTTAAATACCTCAGCCTTCATAAAGTCACTGGGATTGTGTTTCACAGTGTATCAAGTGGCCACCCTGCGAAACCTGAGAATGCAAGAACTATAGCAGCCGATAGAAACTATATAATCCACATAGGGGAGTCCGATGCCCAGAATAATCAAATAATTTTCTCCAGATCATTTTGCCAAACACAACAGAAGGGAAAGGGGTGCTGCTTAGGATTTTCGGCCGATCTCCTGCCCATCCTTCTCATGCTCTGACACCTGCCTGTTCCCTGGTCACCCAGCACGGGAAGAACGGGGAGCCTCACAGTAACTGTGTGGAGTTTGGGCTCATCTCCGGCTATTCTGCTTTATCTCTACTTCTTCACAGCACCGAAAGTTATGATTCTTCTAATTTCTCTTTACCCATTTCCGAAATTTTAGTAAAATGCATAACTGAGCGTTCCCTATGACTCAGTATACACTCTGCATGAGTTACCGCCCGACATTCTCACAGCAGCTCGGTGCCTTGTTATCATGATTTTACATAAACGGGGGGCAGCAGGACTGCTTGCGTGCTGACGTCTCACAGCCTGTGGAGGGTTAAGGCTTTAAGTTTAGAGCCATGCCAAATCCACAGCTCTGGTGTGCTGGGCTTTCGTGGATCTGTCCTATGCACGGGAACTCAATCCACTTCGGATGGCTGTTCATGGGAACACACCTGCGTGTGGCTGAATCGTTTGCTTTCTGTGAAACAGCTACACATTTTTTATGGCTCTTTTACACTTACATAGGAGAGTTTAAATTGATAATTTAGGAAAGCACGTTTGCTTTTGCGTTCTGGGTATGCACACTGCTATTGAGATTGATCCAGGTTTTCCTGCAGTAGGGCCCTGTGCCAGTGTTCTCTCTCAGCTGCGTACTAGGGCATGGGGGCACCACGTGGGTGTCAGTGCCTTGGTCTGGACAGGGTGCTGTGCATGCCCACCGACCCAAAGCCAACCCCAAAAGCCAAGCTCACCAGTCACTCTAGTGAGAAAAGCCTGGGAACCCACAGGCTGCGGGTACAGAATTCCTCCATGTCAAGTGATGCTTCTGCCCTCTGGTGTTCAAAAAGGATGTCGGCACAGTTCCTAGCGTGCCCCACAGGCTTCTGTGACTAACCTGGAGCAATTGGTGACAGGAGGGCTCCTGTGAGAGGAATATGTGACAGTGCCTCGCATGGTCAGGGTGCAGGTCAGACCTGGCCACCGCGGAAGTCAGGCCAGGACTCTCAGAATGGGAAGATTTGCAAAAGCATAGTTCAATTTCAATATGTGATTTACTAGAAATATTTGACTGCAGTTTTAGTTAATAAAGTAGTGTTATTTTCCACAGACATTTTTAAAAAGACTTTTGCATAAATGTAAAATTATGGTCCGTGCTACTCAAAAGTGAGGTCCTGTTTTTAAACAATTGTTTAAAAAATGAGAAAAAAGCACTTGTTATTGACGTCCAAAGACTTATGAAACATGCATCTTACTACTGCTGAATCATTTTGAAACAGGTTTTATTTCTGAAATGTCTAATTTTGTTAAAATTATAGTTCACACTTTAAAATTGTTTCCTTCTAACAGTTTTTACTGTTATTTTACTTAGATTTGACTTCAAGGATTAAAAGACATGATTATCCCAAATAATCCTCCACTGATTGGTAGGGAATGAAAGGAAGAGGATTAGGTACATTATTAATTTCATCGCTTTATTTTACTCTGTGGATAGAGTAAAATAAAGTAAAATGATGAACCCACTATAAATCTTATTAATAGCTTAAACACCAGCATAACTGTCCTTTCTTTGCATAGAAATTTTAAAAAATGTTTTATTTGTACATTTGCAGTTCATGTAGTTTATACTTATTTTGGGGTACACGTAGGTGGCGTGCACGGTGTATGGATCGCTGTGAGTGTCTTGGTGTAGGATTCAAGAGAGAAGCATATTGCCCACAGCACTGTGCAAACCCCACGGACAGCGTGTGCAGAATCCAGATCTTACCACCGTCTCTGCTGCACCCTCGACCTGTACCCCAAGCTTGTTTTCCGCTCCGTGTGAATGTCTTCTTTCCCTTGAGAGTGAGGACTGCGGTGGATTTTCTTTTGTTTGATACTCTAGGTTGGAGAAAGAGACCACATAAAATATCAAAAGTCACTAAGCTAACCTTTTCCCATTTATTGCCCTTCTGTGTTAATTTCTGAAAATTAAGTGTCCTCTTAATGAAAAAAAGATAACATAAGTGTAAAAATGTCCCATAAAATTTAATCAACAAAACTGGAGTAAGTATGTGCTGTGAAACAAAATTAAGAGAAACTGAAATGCTTTACAAAATTGTTATGTTTGAAATATTCCCTAAATAAGCTTTTCTTTCTAACTCTATTTTACTATTCAAATCTTTATACAATTGAAAGTTTTTTAAGAACTCATATGTGTATGTTAATCACCTTATTTATAATTTAATGTATAATCCAATAGCCCACTGTGAAAACTGTGAGGCAGCATTTCAGCTTCCATTCGGCATACAGCATGCACGTCTCCCTCTAGAGCATTGCAAATCTTCATCTCAGCAGGGAGCCCGCCTGCAGGACTCCTCTTACCTGCTTTTCTCTGGGAGGAGACCAAAGCAAAGGCCTCTCCCCACCATTCCGCTGCAGTCGGGTTCTTCCCAACTCAGGATGTGAGTGCAGATACAGTTCGTACACCCCTCTGACCCCGTTACACCTCCTAACATTGGAAAAGACCAGGCCCTTGTCATTCTCTGTCCCCTGAAAAATCCATCTTAGCAGTGGCAGAACTGTGGCCAGCCCTGGTCCTGCACACTTGCTACGTGAGAAAGATTTTTTTTATTTGAACACTTGGGGACATCACTAAGTCTGACACGGCTTTGCTCACTGTCGTCCTGCTCAAATGCAGACCACCAGGATGGGTCAGAACCGGCAGTAACAGTGCCCCACAGCATTGGGTAACCGTGCACACGGCACATGCTGAGGGTCAGGGGTCTTCTACTAGGATTAAGATGAGAAACCCAACTGTACCACGGTTTTCCTTAAAATCTCTAGGCTGCAGCTGAAAACAAATTGAAATTCTTCAGGCACCTCATTTTCGCCTAGATTTTACATTCCATCCCATCTCAACTTCTTTCAGCCAATAGCTGGTGGCTCCGAGAGTCTGGTGTCCTTGTTAAGTTAAAGAAGACCTAAAATAGTGAGGAGAAGGGTTATAAACTATGCCAACTCCGTTATGTTAGAGTATTGTTTACAAGGCAGGCAGGCGACTGACTTTCAAACATGGGTAAAACGGGTCAAAGCAAAATACATACTTCAAAAATAGCATGAAACCTTCCCCTGGGTTTGACAGTGCTGGCCTGCGGTGTCAGCACACAGGGACGGAAGCCTGTGGGAGCTCCCTCGCAGTCTCGCTCCGATGCTTGAAGGCTGGGACTGCGCTTTGCTACCTTTGCTGTGAACGCTGGGCTGTTCTCACAGCTGCTGCATTTCTTCTCTAACCCATTTAAATGTGCAGAAAGCTATGCAGCCCTGCAATTCGCACCTTGCTGGCCCACTCACACCTCTTCCCTAGTGAGTTTTGCTTTGTTTTTATCTTAACATCAGTTCAGAGGACAGTCTCCTGCTTCGCAGGGTGACCAACTTGGTTTTGTTCCCAGAATCCAAATCACTGCCAGACCTCTAGGGCTGTCCTTGAAGACAGCAGAGGGGTCAGGACCCCCAGGCCAGGCTCCGAGCTCCTACATGGCTTCTGTGGACCCATGGGACACAACCTGTCCATTGTTCTGCAGCCGGGTCCAGGCCCTGGTTCTCCCTAGCACTAACGCAAATTAATGTTCCCTATTGACTGATGTGTGTGTATGTGTGTGTGTGTGCACACCTGTGTCAGACAGACCTAATGCTGCCTTGAAAATCAGGTTCTTCAAATTCCTGGTGCTATACTTATATTGCTTTTCCTGGTATAAAAATTCTTGCAAGAGAAAACGACTCTTAAAACCAGAGAGCAGGTCATTCACCTCTGCACACTGCTGCTGGGTCTCCAGGATTTCTCACAGGCTGACTCACCGGTGAATAATCAGGGGGTAAGGTGGCACTTACCAGGCTTGCATTTTGTGTGATAAATGCAAAAGTCTGGCTGCCCCTCGTGTGCCACACTCCTGGTCCTGGAGATCTGTTTGAAAGGAAGCCACTGCCTGCAGAGAGAGCCTGCAGCTGTAGGAGAAGCCTGCTTACAGCTGGCTGGGGCCTGGCCAAGGGCAGAGTTCTCCTTGGACAAGATCCATCTTTTCCCTTATCCATTGCTTCCCACTCCACTCCTAAAGGCCTTACACAAACACGCACTGTGCCAAGCACAACACGGTCACACCTAGCTGGTGGCTGCCGCCACGGCAACAACACTGGCGGCCGGTGCCCTGGGCTGGGCCCCTCAGGCTTGGTCAGGCCCCCTTTAATCTCGGGTCTCAGTCTCCGGTGGCACCAGCAGTTCAGCAAGATGCCACCATCTGAAAGTCCAGGGAGTAACTTGCCTTTGCCTGGCCTTGTTGCTTTCTTCCTTCCCCCAGACTTTATAAATTGTCTTGGTGACTCTCAAAACAGCACCACGTGAAGGCCCAGCTGAGTCCCTGAGTTACTGTTAGAGCAAGAGAGACCGAGAGGCGATCAGGCCAGTGGGCGAGCAGCTGAGGTTGAAAGGGCACCGGGATGGGGAAATGTGCAGTGCGCCTCCCTCCAGGGTGCCCAGCTGCACAAGGAGGGCTTCTCGGCGTGTGCGGCGGATACTGACTGAGACACAACATCTCCCTACACTTGGTGTTTTTGCTCCCTGAAACCTGTCTGCATTCTTACCTGAGTGTGTTGCTTGGCCTCGCACTTTGTTTTCAGATCTATGTTCCCCTTTGCTTTGTGATATCGAGGCTGACATCCCATCGGATTGATTGACAGCAGGGGCCTCCCCCATCCTGTCCTTTCCTAGACCTCGGGGGCAGCTGCCCCACACCACTTCCCCACCCCCGGGGTGGCAGTGCTGACCTGACCCTGGCACTGAGGCAGGGCCAGCATAGGAGTCTTCTCCACACTAGGGCGAGCGACGAGAGGACAGAGTGCTGTCAAGAAAGCGTATTTCCAGAAAGCATTGCATAATAGGCAATAGAAACCAGATTTCCTTTCTCTTCTTCTTTTTCCTTTTTTTAAATTTTATTACACTTTGTCAGAGGCAGACAATAAGAAAAACATTTATTTTCTCATGCAGTGGAACTATATTACATTAAACTTTCTAATTATTTAAAACTGTGATGAAAATTGTGGCTTGAATCTCATATTTTTCTTCTAGAAAGTTTGATACCAGATCACTACAGCTACCAAGTCAGAAGAGGGTTCTTCTCTAGTTGGAGGCTCTTTCAAAAGTGTAGCACAAGCTCCATCTTGCCCTGCTTTGATTTTTGTGATAGACCAACCAGACTAGAGCACGGGGATTAAAAGCTGGAAGCCCTGGAAATGCCTGAGCCTCCGCCCGCAGTGCACAGCCGTGACTGTGAAAGCTTTCATTAGTCGAGCTCCTTGTCCACTTGGAGTTCTTGCTTAACCGCTTTAGGACAGGTTCCCTGCTGCTGCCAGGTTGACAGGTTCCACTCGGTGAGGGCCAAGTGTGGAAACCATGACTGATCGCACAGGTCTGGGTCTGCAGAGCAACCTCCAGGTCACCGCTTACAGAGGGAGTCAGTACCAGGGGTGTGCAAGGGGGGTTCCCACCTCCGGGCTGCAGTGCTGGCCTGAATAAGTAGCCACCAGGAGAGGATCCATGTCTTATTGCCTGGCATGGGAGATTCTTACAAAAGATAGGCGCTCTCGCATGAATTACAGAAAATCAGTAACAGTTTATTTTAGTACAGCGTGGATGCTTATGCTAATCATAAGGCATGGTGGTTTAGTGGTTTAAAACTTTGGGTCAGAGTCATGCTTGTAACTATCTCCTGGACCTTTAGCTCCCTAGGAACAACTGTCGTGAGGATCGGAGTGCACTGACAGGAATCAAAGGTGTGCCCAGAATGCGCGGCTCAGTTTGGGGAGACTATATCCAGATTATCTAAACAATCAGAGAAAAAGATACTTTCCCATACAAATTTGCTCTGATGTCACTCATGCTATTCTTTAAACCAATGTCCATCAACTGAAGTTTTCCATCCCGAAGAATTCATAATCCGTTAAGGATTCAGATGTGATAACAGTATTTTAACATATGAGAGAACCTTCTCACTTATAATATTCTGTGCCTTTTAGTTGTTTCTAACTTATTGATTTATTTTTATCAGCACATGTTTACAGTACTAAATGACCAGATTCACTGTAGGCAGTTGGTACTTGTACATAACACATATTAAGTATAAAGAATCGAAATCACAACGTTTTGAAACAAATTAGGCTGAGGATGCCAGAGAGTATGTATGTTCTGGGAAAATATGTCAAACGGTAAAGTGATTTTGTGTTTTTGGATGAAAGCACATCAAGTTCATTTGATTTGTGCTAATTCAGACTTTTTACTTTACCACCAGAGGGCAGGTCATGCTAACTATTTATTTAGCAGAAAGTGAAAGTCAATGGGGAAGAGACTTGAGGGTGAGGGGCATCCCCCAGGGGCTGCAGGGCTCCCTCCTGGAGGGCTGTTAGGAGGCTCAGGGTAGGACTTTCACACCAGTTTCAACAAAACTAGGGAATTACAGTTTCAAGGTAAGACATTCTTTTGGTATTATCTTTGTGACTCATTGATTTGCTCTTTTAATTTTGAATACTCATGATTTCATTTGAACTGAAATCATAAATGTACTCAAAAGAAATTGCAAATGATTTCCTAGATAGTCTCACGTTCGATGATCAGCTCTTTACAGCTGTTTCAGCTTCCTTTTCAAGTATGTTATAGAAAGTGTTTGTTGGGGGTAATTAGTCTTTCTAGGAAAAGAATTGACTGAGGAAACTTTAAAAAGTTCCAGTGAATGCATCTAATTTAGAGTGTTTTTGAGGAAGAAAACCAGACTGAAGTGAGAACAGGGCATTTATGTACACACGGGCAGGTGCGTGCCCATGTCTGCCCACCTTTCCAGCCTGGCCACATCCGCCTCCAGGCCAGGGAAGGCGGAGTGGGTTCTCTGGTGCATGACATGTCTTTCTCCTTGCACCCACTGCTCAGTGCCCCAGCAAGACCTACGACCCGCTGATCAAGTCCACCAGAGACTTCCCCGACGACGTCATCAGCTTCATCCGGAGGCACCCGCTGATGTACAAGGCTGTGTACCCAGCCTCGGGAGGCCCAACCTTCAAGCGGATCAATGTGGACTACAGGCTCACCCAGATTGTAGTGGACCACGTGGTGGCCGAGGATGGCCAGTACGACGTCATGTTCCTCGGGACAGGTGAGCTCCACCTGCACTGTGCCTGCCACGGGAGGGCCCAGCAGTGATGGGAATCAGAACTTCCTGGTAACTCGGTGGGCAGAACCAGCAGGAGTGGCTACTGGCCAACCTGCTGCATGCGGTTTTTAAATGTTGTAGTGCATATTTTTAGTTGATAATCATTAGTGCCTGCCAGCTGTTTGAGACCCCAATCTTACTTGTACTTATTTATGTCTGTGATGGGCCTGTTATTGATTAGAGGCCCCAACCTGTTTACTGAATGAAGCACAGAGGGCCAGCCGCTGGGTTTTATGGTCAGACTTGAGGTCTCCCTGTCTCTAAGTCAGTCTGCCTTCACCTGAACTACAGTATCACTAATTTAGCTGACTTAACAAGGGTTTCTAAAACATTAGGCGTTACTTCGCATGGCCTTTAAGTAGAAATGTTTTGGAGATTTTTTTCTGTTCTTGAATTTTGAGGGTTAAAATGAATTTTATTTGCTCTCATCAGTGGAGCTCATTTCTAGCCATTTAGTAATTAATTATGAAATAATTAAAATATTTTCAAAAAATGATGTGCTATTTATTTGGACATCTCAAAAGTAAGAAGAGTCATAATCTACTTCTGCAGAGAATTCTAGCAGAGAACGTGTCTCCTGAAAGCATAAGCATATCTCCTAGATAAGAGTAGGTCATACAATGGAGACAGAAATTAACTGCTCTTTAACAGACAGACATTTTTGTGGGAACAGGTTTTTAAGAGTGGAAGGCAGTTTTAGGATTATTCCATGGCTTTGTGGAACACAGGCTTCTTAGGAAGCTGTGTGTGTGTGTGTGTGTGTGTGTGTGTGTGTGTGTGTGTGTGTGATGAACTTCGAGGTCCTCAGGCACTGACTCAGCCTGGCCAGCAACTTGTGGAAACTCCAGGAGCTGCACCCAGGACGGGTGATCCCAGGACTGGCAGACTCCTGCCTGCTGCAGGGTCCAGCATGGACTCACTCACTGGTCCTTAAAAATTCTCACAGTGTGCGGCTTAGCGTGCATTATGTCTCTGCATGCGATTCAGCCACTAGGTGGTACTAGGCAACTGTTACTGAGAAAATCAGGCACTGTTAAGATAGTTAATTTCAACACTTAGAAAATGAATATTCTTTTCAGAGATCCCAGCGATCTTGAGAAATATTAAGCAATCTAAGCTATTTTGTACATTTAGAAAAATTACAATGTATGTTCCAGTAATCAAGCCCTGGTACTCAGAATTTGAAGAGTATGTTTCATACAAATTAATGATCAAATGGGATTTATTATTTTTTTTCTAGTTTTCTTTTATCTTATGAGTTAGTATGCCACCTGGTGGAACTGCAGTATAAAATGATGTATTTGAAACATCTTTCCTAAACATCAATTTTTGCTTTACATTGTCAATCTTCTGTTGTCTATTAAGTTGAACTAAACAATTTTAAACAAAATTAGTTTCTGGCCCATTAACAATGATTCTGATGGTAGAATACATTTGGGGAGCTACAGTTTCCCCTATAAATTGCTTCGATCATTTCTTATCTATTTGTTAACATTATTAAAAGATACATGTATCTTACATATTGTGGCAAATTGGATATAATAAGCATTGAGCAAATATTTATTATAGGGAGACGTAAGTACATGGGGAGACAATTAGTTATTTTAATGTATTTAACTTTTTAGATCAAAATGAAATTTTGTTTCATCTCTGCTATAATTTCAGACAATATTTAAGTTAAGCTTAGATATTCTATTAAGAGCATACTCTGAGTATATGGGCTTTAAAGTTCTCTTTATGTGTCTCTTCTACTAGCTAAAGGCTGTAACATTTCAGAAAGGGTAAATCACATGCAATGAATTTCATTTCTTGTATGTTTTATTTGACCTGCTTTCTTGAGAAGTGTTTTAAAAGGAAAGGAACAAATCGAAGGTGTCTAGGGACGTGCTTACACCCAGACTGTGTGCAGAAGCAGGAAATCACAGATCACATGCCGTTTCAGATGTGGGGACAGTGCTCAAAGTGGTCAGCATCGCCAAGGAGAAGTGGAGCGTGGAGGAGGTGGTGCTGGAGGAGCTGCAGGTGTTCAAGGTGAGGCCTGGGTGGCAGAGTGCAGGGCCGGGCATGTCCCTGTGCAGGGCACGCTTTCATAGGCATCACCGCTTTCCTCTTGGAAATGAGCTCGCTCAGTGCTGGATGAAGTCCTGTAAGCGAGTGAGAAGGGATCAGAGCCTCTGGTAGCTCCAGGTCCCCTCTCATGACCGCAGTCCCCACGCGTTAGCACACAAATTGCTGCAGTCAGCACACAGATGTCTCCCTGCTTTATAAACCCAACTCTATTAGTGATTTTTCTCCAACTAAATTTGAGAAAGATGGAAGAGCAAATAGATCATGCATCCTTGCTTTTCTGTAAGAAATGAAACAAACTAGGTTGCAGGATTGCATGACTGTCCTAATGGTAATTCCTCATGTAGGCCAGATTACTTGGACTCTCTGAAAGAGTAGAGCCCTCCGAGAGAGCCTCAAGGTTTGGTCATGTCTTTGACTTGTAGCATTAAATTTAAATTGTAGCATTCTTTATAGAACCTCGATGGGACTTAATTTAAAATTACCTCCTGAAAAAAAATTAGAAACAAAATTCTATGCCTTCATAAAGCTTTCTAAAAATACGCTGTGCTGTTTTATAGCACTTAGCTGACACTGATTATTCATAACTGTTTCCACTGAGCGTCTATTGCCTGAGAGGAAGTACAGCCCCCACACAAGAGGGCCTCCGGGTAATTAGTGGGTAGCCATGGGTGCTGTTTACCCTGTGAAGATCATAGTGGGGAGGTAAGCAGGATAGCCCTGCTAGCTGTCTGAGCCAATGAAATCCTTGGGTGATTGTCAGGGAGAGGCCAGGATCTAATATAAGAGTGAACCAGAGGTTGACACAAAGCCCACCTCACACCTATAAACCCACCCGAGCAAGCCCATGCTGTGGTCATGAGAGGTGGTCAAGAGAAATTGCTTGGCTTCACTGTTAAAACTGAACAATGACCATATTTTGTTTCCTTTTCTTTTTTTTAGATTACTTCAACCAGGGTTACTAAGGTGTATTTTATAAACAAAAACCCCCCATGGTTTACACAGTTTGATGAGTTTGGCCATTGTTAAAAGTTCATAACGAAAAGCTATTGGTTAGAGCTTTCGCACTTACAAATTCTCTTTGACAACTTTTGTTAAACATCTGCTACTGCTGGTTGATTTATAAATTCAGGATGATGGTAGGTGAATAAATAGATAAATGAGAGACACATGGAGTAGTTTTGATAAATGATCCCACTTTGCCACTGTGATCTCTCTTGCATGGTTGACCCGACCTCTCTCTGTAGGGAGTAAGTACTTCTTACCCTACTTTTTCTTGGTCCAAACTTGCTCTGCAGAAGCTGTTTCTTTTCCTACCTTTAATAAAACCTGGCCACTGTTAAGAAAAAAAAAAAGTGTCCTTTTTGTTTAACGACATTTATGTTCACATTTCTGATTTTAGCTTGTAAGTATAGAACCACACTACCTGCATACAAAGTGGGCCTTGGCTCCTATCTTTAAATTGTGTGCACTGATATCTTGAAGCATACCCTAAAGGATATGGATATGCACGGGGAGTAGGGCAAATGTTCAGAGCTCTGCCACTGGGACAGGCCTTTGAATCGGTGGTCAGTCTAGGAGCAGAAAGAGACAATAAATAATTATGGAGATGTCCTTGTCAGCACTAGTCTGAATTATATGGAAGCAGTTAAGAACAGATTTTGAAGAAAGAAAAGACTTGTGCGTAACTGGGAACAATTTTCAATGCAAAGTGTTTCTTTGTACATTTAGGTCTTTTTCTTTAACCAGATACTTTAAGACAACTATTTCCATCATTTCTATTATGGTAGAACCACTACACATTGCAAGAAAATTGCAAACACTGAGATCCTTTTGAGTCTGAACACTTACTTCTGCGTTCTTTGGTATAAGATTAAAAAATAGTGGTTTAATATAAAAGACTGTTAACAATTATCTTTACTGACACCAGCTTCTATTTTCAGCACCCATCGAGCATCCTGACCATGGAGCTGTCTCTAAAGCAGGTACTTTCTCATTTTATGCGAAAGTTAACCACAAGAGTTACACGCTGCTTGGAACAAAGTTCATTTGATGAATCCACTGAAATCGGAAATTAAGTTGTAAATAGTATAGAAAGCTATAGATTATTTGCTTCTCTTATTATTGATTGGAAACCATTATTTTAGCCTTGCCTCAGTAGAATGGGAGAGCTCATCAATTGAACACTATCTTTTCCTTTCTTTGTTCTGAAGAGTTTAGTTTTTTGCCCTCAGAAGGACGTCTGCCTGTCCACAGCATAAGAGATACGTGTAAAGAGTTAGCCCTGACCATTTAAAAGGTTTTCATTGGGAGCCTAAGAGTGAGAATAAAGAGTGTGTCAGCCCTCCTCATGCCCCACAGTACCTAACTCACAGAATCGGCCTCCTTGAGAGCAAAGTTAGAAAAAGCTCGCGCATATGACGCACAGTTAGACAGGACATGGAGCGGCAGAGTAAATGGAAGCTCATGAGAATACTGGTACACAGTACTGCACAGTGGGATTCCACATTCCCAGCTATGATGCGCTAATGCCCACCTAATTTGGGAGACTGAGCCTTACATTGTCACTTCTGCCTGCATCTTCAAGATTTAGGAAAATCATGACAGTGTGTGTTCAAATCTGCCTACCATGGCAGAACCTGCATCAGGGAACCATCTGAATAGGATTCTTCTTCTTCGGATCTTTCCATCCTTTGTTCATTTATCCAGCATGTGTTTCTGGAAGGCCTGTGCTGGGCTTCTAGTGTTCAGAAAATGAGTGCAGGACAGCACCCCCCTCCCGAGGCGGGGGTAGAGCTGAGAGACGGAGGAGCGTGCTCAGGATGCAGAGTAAGAGGGAAATGCAAACTAGAGAGTCAGGAGAAGGAAGGAGCCTGCGAGGGAGCCAGTGAGAGAGCAAAGGGCGCTCAGAGAGAGCCAGCACTACAGGAGCCAGATAAAATAAAGGGCACGGACAGAGGGGCGCGGGCCAGGCAGCGGGGACACTGGCGAAGTCGGGAGGAGGAGAGAGCACTGCTTCTCTGGTTCTGTTCCCAAGCCACAGAAGCGAGGATGTGTGAGTGTTGAGAAGGCACCAGAAATGAACCTGGCGATCAAGTCAGGCTTGAGATTAGGCTCATCCTGCTGTGTGCTCCCATAACATTTGATAATTTGTCTCAAAAACAACAGAAAGCATTATGACAGGCCATCCCTGTCACATTTTCCTTTAAAGCAGTAGTCTGTGTAGCGTGGGAGGCAGAGATGGGGTCCTGTGGGGAGGTGGGCGTGCAGGGGAAGGAGCCATAGTGAGCAGAGCTCATCGGAACACTTGTAAGACGTCCAGAAAAGAAAGGATGAGGGCGGGAGCAGAGGCCCAGTGGTGGGAAGGGAGGAGAGGAAACAGCTTGGGGATTTCCGCGTGAGAGTGGGATGAGGTGGTGATGGGCAGAACGTGGGAGCGGGAGTCTCAGGCGGCTCCCAGGGCCCGTCTCGGCGATGGCAGAGGAGACACGGGAAACCCGGGCTAGAATCTGGTTTCCAAGATGCCTCTGAGTGCTCACACTGTTGAAAGGGGATAAAGACTAGGAATAGAGAAGAAAAGCCCACATGTAACTCAAAGAAAGGAATCGCAAAGGAGACAAAAGTCTGAGGTAGAAATAACGAAAGAGAATAGGAAAAAGTGCAGAGTTTTAGGAAAAGTCACCATCTCAAATGCTACAGCGAATTTAAATAAAGCAGGCCATAAACAGTGTTCATTGCAGTTAGAGGCCAGGGAAGCCCCAGGTGAGAATCTAAAAGGCGGTGAAACGGAGGGCAGATCTCTGTAGCTTCAGTATGGATGTCGCTTCTGCTGGCCGCTGGTTCAGAGATGCTTCTTCACCTACAGCTCGGAAGGTCCCTGTAGACTTGGCACGGGGTTCTCTGAAGACGCAGGTTGTGTTTATACTCCCGGGGGCAGTGCAGACACTCGTGAGGAGACAAGTGGGGAAGAGTGCTTGCTTTTCATGGCCGGTTTCCAAAATGTAACTCCACTGCCTGTGTTGTTAGTACCCTGTGACACGGGATCTCTCCAGCCTGCTTAGTCTTCCCTTCATAGGGACACCAAATATTCCCCGAGCACTCCCAACCCAAATTCTCTCAGGGGTCAGGACTTCCTTAACAAATGCGGTGGTTAATTAAGTTGGGGGGAAAGTTTCCAAACTCTGTCTGCAGTCACCTCTCCACAGGGAGCACAGGGAGCCATGCCAGAGAGGGACCTTTCATTGTGCCAATTGCCTGTGTGGTTGGTAAAATCCCCAGCATGCACTTCCTGCTGTGGAGCAAGGGTTTGAAGTCTTCATTCCTCAGGGTAGCTGCTGGTCTGGACCTTCCCAGAGCACCGACAGCTGCCTTGCACTTTAGAGAATATTGCCCATTTCAGGATCAAAGTCTTCGCACCAAACGGTCCAACCAGGAAAGTGGGGAGAGGGGAGGGGGCCTTATTTTCCTCTCAGATATATCCCTGTGCAAGTGTTCGTAGGGGCAGCACCTTGGAGAAACAGATTTAGAGCTACCAAGAGGTATTTAAGAAAAGCAAGTTGCTAAGACTGGTCTAAGAGATGCTTCTGATGCATGTGTTTTGTCTGATTTCCAGCAACAGTTGTACATAGGCTCCCGAGACGGGTTAGTGCAGCTCTCCCTGCACAGATGCGACACCTACGGGAAGGCGTGTGCAGACTGCTGCCTGGCCAGAGACCCCTACTGTGCCTGGGACGGAAGTGCCTGCTCGCGGTATGCGCCCACGTCCAAGAGGTGAGACCCCGACCCCCACCAGGCAGCTGGCTTTCCCCAGACATGTGGGCCACTCATGTCCTCTCCCAGAGTTCAGCAGAAATCCACAGGGCACTGGCTCTGAGGAGGCGTGGAACAGCAAAGCGCTGTTTCACAGCTTTACCTAAAACTGCGTGCTGAAGGTGGGTAGACCAGGTGTCCTGAAATTCAGACCTGTGGAGCTTTGAAAATCTCTGAGACATTGTTTATAGTGTTGCCGCTCGTTTATGTCACACACCACTGAAAGTGCGTTTTCCTTCACCACTTTTTTATACATTCCTCCCTTCTTATTTCTAAATATGCACATATTTATACTGTTTGGTAAAGAATTTATAAAGATATGTATTCTTAAAGCTGCAGATTATGTACCACAAACTGTGCATTCCGATGCTTTGGAAGAATTTTATTTTGACTCTAATAACTTTAATTTGGTCAGTTTCTTTCACTCCGAGACATTTCAGTAGCCTGTTTTCCTGTTCTTCATAGATCATTGTTTTATGTGCTCTTGGAAATAATGTTATTTTGAGCCAAGAATTCTCAGCTAGGGATTTATTCTCTGCACACATGTGCAAAATACCACAAGGTTATAGGATTCTTCTCAACATTATTTTAATACCAAAATAATGGAGAAGCAACTCAAATGGCTATCAACATGCCCAACACTTACTAAATATGCAATAATTACTTTTAGATATAGGTTATAGTAACATTATTTTTAAAGTAATATTTAAAGTATATTTTCTTTGAGGTAGAATGTTAGAAAATTGTGATATTTTCCCTTTTTTTAAAAACAAAATAAGAGATAAACATGCTAGTCATAGTTACAGGTATACTTTTTGTTTTGACACTCCTGATTTTTGAAATTCTAAATTCTAGGAATCACAGGATGAATGCATGAGATATAGCAGAAGAAACTTAAACATAGGACACATTTTCTGTTCTCTCACATCTCTGAATTAAATTAATGAATATAGGCAGTTATTCAGAGTTAAAAATAAAAACTCAGGAGAAGTTTTGTGTCATGTTCTCCAAAGCATACAACCCATCATAGCGAGTCTTCAGGGGATGCTTCTCCGAGAGCTAAAAACCAGAATGCTCATTAGTTGGCAATAACCCTTCAGTTTGATGAATCGGCCCTGTTCCTTAAGAAGCCAAGATTTGAAAACATTCTTGACCCTGCGCACCCCGTCCCGTCGTAACTTTTCCTCTCTGAGGTCCCGAGACTCTGCCTCTGCTTTTGCAGACACCACTGTGGTGTTTCCCCGAGCTGACACCAACTCCATGTGAGACTAAAGATGTGCATGGTGAGGGCTCTCTGATGGGCTGTCGTCTGGTCAGCACTGGCTCTGTGGAGCCCAGACAATCGAGAAAGCGTATGCTGCCTCTCTGATCTCTGAGGTGGGCACTGGAGTAAGGGGAGTCAGGAAGCAGGATGAGGAGCAGGCGACCCACGCCCCTGGGCCCTGCAGACAGGAGCCAGGAGGAGGCTGCCCAAGTGCAGGGGCTGCAGGCGGCCTAGGCTCTGTGCATCTGCACACACAGCAAGGAAGGGGTGGGGTACCCAGCAGGAAGAAGTGAGGGGTGTGTGGAGAGGGAGGTGTCTACCTTGACTTAAACATTACGCAGTGTGCACACATACAGAAAAGTCATGTGGTGCTCCTTTAGTACATACAGCATGTGTATTTTTATGTTGCCATGGATCAGTTAAAACGCAATGTAATTTAGAGTAAAGAGTATGGCCAAAGACAGCGAAAACATACCGTAAGAATGTAAGCCATACTTAGCAGAGATATAGTAGAGGTTTTTCTTTTTGTATATGATACTTGCTCTTTTCTCTGAAGGAAAATATGGGACATAATGCAGAAGCCTTTATGCTATTATTATTATTATTATTATTATTATTATTATATTATTACAGGAAAATATGAGGTACAGATCAACACATACAAACACCATGCAGCCGTATGTGCCGTATCAAACTTGACCTTCTTCAAGCAATGTTAAATCCATTGCTTGAGCAAACCTATGTAGCTGCGCACTGTGCGATACGAGGTTTCAAACTTGGGCTTCCTTTCCTGCCCCTTGCTAAACTCATTCAGACATTATTGCTTTCCCAGCGCCTGACAAAGAGAACAGAGTTGCCCTCATGCCATCTGAATCTTCAGGATTCTAATTATATTTCACCTGTTCTGTTGATTAATGATTGGTCAAGTCAGAGAAAAAGAATGGTAGTTAAATAAAATCCAGATACTCTCAGTGTTCAATGAATTTTATTAGACTTCGCTATCAGAAGTGTTTAAATTGACCTCGGTTGATTGGAACAGTGACCCCATTTATGAAGAGGAGAAATGCAGGTGTGACTCTGCAGGTCTCACTGTAATGTCAGCCGTAGCTGTGTTCGTTTTTCTTTTGTTGAGGTGCTGGGATTGAGCCTCACACATGCTAGGCAGGCACTCTACCACTGAGCTACACCCCAGCCCAGAAGAGGCTTTTCTGCACCCCAGCTTTCTCCTGGAAGCTCTAATCAGGTGACCCCTTTCCGTAGGCGGGCAAGGCGCCAAGACGTGAAGTACGGGGACCCGATCACCCAGTGCTGGGATGTGGAAGACAGTAAGTATCCGTGCTTTCTTGGCCTTTCCTTCTCATCTCAGATGATAGCTCGGTCTTTATTTTATGACTCCAAACATCCATTGCGTGAGAACGTCTCATTTCATGCAGTGCTTATGTTCTGGGGAAGCAGCGGGAAGTTTATAAAGGAACCCCCTTTCTATATACCTAAGCGAGTAATCCTCTGTCACATCATGATTTGTTTCACATGTCCTTTAAGATTTCTGGGCTGTGGCTTTTGGTTCATTTTTACTGCCCTCTCCTTGTAAAGCCTGAAAATTGCTATTAGCGACGAGGCAGGAGTTAGCCCAAACCATCACGATGTGTAGAGTAAACTCCAAGACCTCCCAGGAAGACGGAGAGAACTCTGGATACTGACTGGAAAGGAATTAGGTGGCCTGAGCCTTATGCATCCTCACTCAGGAGTCTGAGCCTCCATCCACCCAGCCGGGAAGTGGTAAGTGACTTCCACACACACACAGGATTGTCCTGAGAATTCTGCAGACAAACTCACTCCCCATGGAGCTCCTGTGCCCTGGGAACATCATAATTCGCCTTGTGGGGCTTCTGCGGAAAGGGAGAGCACTAGAACAGCATCCCCTGGAAAGAGAGCGCACACAAAGGGAGACCTTAAGGGAGGGAGTGGGGCGCAGGGGCTGCAGGCAGGAGGATCTGGGTCCCCAGCTGAAAGCAGAAGAACCTGAAAGCTGGTGGGGCTTTAGTTCCATTCCTTCTCAAACTGTGCCTCAGGGCAGAAACCACTGTCTCTCTCTGTCTCTGTCACACACAGTGCACACACACACACACACACACACACACACACACACACACACATCTGGGGAAAGCAAAGAAAAGCACTTCCCTTCACCGCCTCCTTTGCTGCACCCCACCCCAGATTTTCACAGATTACCCAGATTTTGATCCGTGAGTGTTTTCTCGATTTAAAATCAAGGCTTTACTTACAGCTCCCAAGTTCATTCTTCTGAAATGCAAGGTCTGGTCTAGAAGTCTGGTTTCTTTCCTAATGTTTCTCGATTGTGGTTAGGGTTTTATCTGGGAATCCTGGTGTGTGCTCTGTGTGCTGTTCTGACCTGGGAGCTCACTGATCGGAGACTGGAGCAGGAACTGAGGCCTTGATCACAGGCACAGGAAGAACGTGGGAGAGCGCCTGCACTCCAGAGTCACACACCGCAGGTGCAGCAGAGGCGGGGCGGACAGAAGCACAGGCGCAGGGCAGTAAGGGCCACGGCCCTGGCCCTCTGCTGCGTGTGACAGGCGATCCTCTGTTCTTCTCTGGATTTCCTCTCTAATTTCTTCTCCCTTGCCACACTTTCTCTCTGGATGACCATGCCGTGGTGGCTGCAGGCAGCTTCTGAAGAGCTGCTACTGGCTACTGAGTGGTTTCCTGAGCTGGTTTAAGTCCTTGACAGCGCGGATCATTCCAGCTGGGGCTGCTGAAGCCAGGAGAACAGGCAGACCCCAGGAATCAGGCTGCTTGCTTCTGAGAGACGCTTCCAGAACCGGAAGGTTGTGTGGGGTCCTGGGCTCACGCTGTTCGTCACCTGAGGATGGCATCCTGAGTCTCCTGGGCCTCCCCGGCCACCTCCAGGGCTGGGCACTTCTTTGTCCTTTCCACCTTAATGTCTTCAGCCCACCACCAGCCTGAGCTCACAGTCCTGCTGGCTCAGTGCCCTGCTGCCAGTCTGGCATCCATCTTTCCCTCCTGTGCAGCTCCCCCAAATCACTGCTGTGTACCCCGTCTCAGCCTGAGGGAGGCCTTCGCACTTCTCCAAACCGCTGGCTCTTCAGACCTCTCTGGATTCCTGCACAGAGCCCCAAGCTGCCAGCTGGATGCCCAGAAACACCCAGGGGTCAGCTCTTTCACTTTGCCTGGCCCCACCAATCTCTCCAGAAGTCCCATGGCCTAAAACCAGCCTTGCTCCTCCTGGCCCTGGTGTGTGGACCTCCAGTCAGCCCTGCTCCTGTTCCACAGCCTCCCTGGTCCCTCTTCTGTTCTGGTCCTCCCCTCCCTGCTCCTGCTCAGTGGCCAGCGGGATCTGGTCAGAAGCCCCACCCCAGCCTGGACTCATCTGCCCCTTATGCAAACACATGTCCCTGCACTAGCAGGACTCCCAGAGCTCTGTGGCTTCCGAGGTGCTGCAGCTACCCAGATGCCAACACACAGCTTCCCTTCCCTGCAGGCTCCATGCCCAAGCACCAGGCAGGCTGCTGGTCAGTGTCTACTGTCCTCTCCAGGACCCACACTGCTGCTCTCACATCCTTTACCTGTAGGACTTAATTCCCCAGAGAAACCATTGTCTGCCCTGGTACCCAGTAGCCCCTCATCCGTTCCCTGTACCTGGTGCACCTATGTTCTTTACATCCTCTTTCCGGTGAGTGCATCCATGGCTGGAACAGAAAGTTCCCGGGGGCTCACCAGGCACAGAAGCAGTGGCACAGCAGGCTGCTTGGAGAATGTGTCCTAGGTGGAGGCCTGGGAGCTCTGCCTGGGGAGGAGGAGATCTACAGATAACAGGAAGTAAGGTCAGAGAGGCCTCAAGGTCCGGCTCAGTTGTGGCAGCCGCTACATTTTCCCTGTTGATGTTTGCCTCATAGGTGAAAAGCACCTATGTATCTCATGTCTTGAAAAAGTTTTTTTTTTTTTTTTTTTAATTAAAGTGATTGACATCCATGTAGATTATTGATTGCAGTGAAGAGGAGCGAGAAGCAGAGAATCCATTTTGAGAGTGAAGCATTGTTTCTGAGGCTGATTACAAACTGAAGCAGCTGTAAGAGATAAGGGCAGGGGACAAGGAGAGCTGGATGGTGGACATGCGCTGTGTGTTACATTGTAATCGAGTCTTAAATAACTGGCAGGAAGACGCTGGACTTCTTCATTCCTCCTTTCTGCTCGTGGCTCATGAACTGCTGATTGCCAGGAACCTGCATTTTTACTGCTGCTACATTGTCAATCTGTGCCAGTGAGCTACGTTTAAAGAGCCAATCTTGTTCCTCAAGATAATCACATTTTCACCATAAAGGATTTTTCTGCAGCACTTGAGATGGAGCCCAGAGCCAGAGTCAGGCTCTGGCTGCAGACTCGGCCCCTCATTCCCTCACTCTGAGGAAGCCCTCCCGCCATTCCACCGTGGCTGCAGTTTAGAAGATGAAAACACTCTCTTTCACATGATTATACACACAATAAAGAGTTATTCCATTTTCAGATATTGTTACACAGGTTTTGCATGTTTAAACATTTGATAACACTGTATGTTTGTGTATTTGTATGTGGATATCTGCATGGTAAACACCTGGTAATAGGACATGTATTGTGTTACGTGTAAGTTTGTGTGTGTGTGTGTGTGTGTGTGTGTGTGTGTATGTGTAGGATATGTACAGATGCATTTATGGATGCATGTTTTAAAATTTAAAATTAGCAATTATACAATTCAGCAGTTAAAGAAGCATTAGAAACAAGGGTAAAGGCATTTGAAACTCAGTGGCGCTGCATGTGTGGCGTCCTCCTCTGTCCTTGCTGATGGAGAAAGGACCTGTGGAGCTCGCTTGTTCCTCCCAGTTCATCTCACTAGTTCATCTTCTCTAACTGACCTCACTTCGAGGTTGACTGTTTCAGCCTCAGTCTGTCTGGAGCTCAAGCCCCCAACCGACACCGTTAGCCTGGAGACTGGCTCCATCTCAAGAACACGCTGGCCGCCTTCTGCGTGGTTGCCTCTCACGTAATGGGCACAGCAGTCTTTCCTGTGTGAGGAGCTTCATCTGCAGAATAGCTGCAGCTCGTGCAGCTTTAAGAAGCATCCACACATTGTGAAGGTTAGCACGGGCTAATTCACCACAGCGTCAGCACATTTGACTTAACTGCAGGTTAATCATGAATAAATTCAAAAGCAGTTGCCTTGAACAAGCCTCGCTTCACATGTGTGAGCCCTCAGGCCACTTGCTCTTTCTCTGTGTACTTTGGTGTAGGCTTCCAGAAGGTCCCTGGAGCTTTTCTGTAGGTTGGTGGCTAAACGCTAAGGGGCGGGTAGTAGAATTGAGATATCTGAAGACAGGATAAAAGGTGTGTGCTTAGGGCTGGGGGAGCAGCCATCATCTGCTGTTTGATCAAATGGGAGCTGCAGATCTGACAGCCCACAGGGACGCGGCCCTCGCTCCTCTGGGCGGAATGGATTTCAGATGGTCAGCTGATGCTCGGGGAGAGCGAGGCCCAAAGAGAGATAGATAGAGATAGAGATAGATAGATAGATAGAGAGACAGAGAGAGATACAGAGAGAGATACAGAGAGAGAGAGAGATACAGAGAGAGACAGAGAGAGAGAGAGAGAGAGAGAGAGAGAGAGAGAGAGAGAGAGAGAGAGAGAGAGAGAGAGAGAGAGAGAGAGAGAGAGAGAGATTTGGTAGGGAATTCAGTGAGCGTCAGATTTGGGGTCTTCTCTGATTCTGTTTACAAGACATGATTCCATTGCATATCAAAGTCGCCATGTTTTCTGGTCTGCTTTGTGGACCAGTTCACACAGTTTTTCTTTACACGTGAAGTTAGCTGCTCTTCCAGAGTTGACTATAAAATTAGTTGCACTTTTTATGAACAAAAAATGTTGAGGCATTAAAAGATACCAACAGTTTATTCAACTTAAACAGTGTTCAGTTTGAAATTATGACTTATTTTAAAAAAGTAAATTGTAAATATGGGCATGAAGGCTTCAATATTGCAACACAGATGCAGGGATTTAAAAACCTATCTGTTAGATAAAACGAGACTTTGGTGACAATATCACAGCGTGAACTTCCTTCCCTTTAACAGCACGCATGGCTCTTTTTCAGCGCATCTGTTCTAAATCAGTCTGTTTTCCCATTGCCTTTAAGACCAGGTCGGGGTTAATCTCCTATTCCTATGTTTGCTTTCTAGGCATTACTCATGAAACTGCTGATGAAAAGGTGATTTTTGGCATTGAGTTGAATTCAACCTTCCTGGAATGCGTACCCAAATCCCAACAAGCATCCATTAAGTGGTACGTGCAGCGGACAGGAGAGGAGCTCTGTGAGGTGAGTCCCCACCGGGGCTTCCCAGAGGCTTACTGGAGGGCGACAGCATGGCCCTGAGACCCAGGCCAGGGCTGGGGCGCGGGTCTGCAGGCTCGGAGGCTCTGTCTTCACCCCACGGAGAGGAAGATGACCACTGGTACTGTACTTCAATACCAGTGTGTCAAATAACTCTGTCTCCAAGGAGACCAAAGTTTTAAAAGAAACTAACATGATTTTTCACATTTTTATTTTTTATAGATTGCTTATATCTTAGAAAAATTTCCTATGAAAATAACACAGTATTTTAACCATGTAGTAGTGTGACTGACTTTTGACCCATATTGTGTTCAATGGAAATCACAGACAAAACATGCCGAGTTTGTGTGAAAATACAAATACCTCTACATGTTACTGGAATATATCAAAGACTTTCTGACATTGGTTGCGTCACAGAATTCACAGCACCAAGTTTGGGCAGTCTGAGAACCCCAGATTAGTATTGTTGGAACCTTATGAGACAGTGGTTAGCTAGCAGGGTTCTTGTTTACTGCTTAGTGTACCAGAGCCCTGCAGCACTCAGCTCTGAGGTGCGCTCACCGTGACGCAGGAGGAGAGGACACACTCTCCACAGCTGACACTCTGAACTGCACCATGGTCCTGTGGCCTTTGGTCACCTCACCAGCTTCCCCATAAATCTCTGAACGGTGAAAGCAGCAAAGGTGACCAGTCAGTCCCCAGTGGAGGACAGTGGATCTCAGCTCAGGCAGCCTGGTTCTCTGCACTGACAGTTTGGTGGCTGGCAGGTACATAAGTCTCCTGGCAGCTCCGTGCCTGCCCGGGGTGATGCCCAGGGCCTGCACTGTGCAGTCCCTTGGGAGGAAGTTCACTGACACAGGTGTCAGCTGAGACACTGAGAAACTCAGGAGCAGGACGGGCAAATCCTGTCATAAGGGGCTGCCTTAAAATGAAATTCCAGGGAGCTGAGTGTGTTCCCTGAACCACATCTATGTCTGGAGTCCTAGCACACCAGGAAGCTGAGGCAGGAGCATCCCAGTTTGAGCCCAGCCTAGACCATTTAATGACTAAGAGAAGTTACCTCTAAATTAAAAATAGAAATAATAATAAAAATAATATTAATGGCTGAGGATGTAGCTCAGTGCCAAAGCCCCGGGACAGTCATTAAAATTGGAAAGAGGAAAAGAGACAGAAATAGAGATAGCAATAGAGATGGTGGTTGGGAGAGAGAATTCAACTGTTATATCATGAAGACGTTAATGTTATAACCTCTATAAGAATATGAAATTACTGACTACATACTGAGCACTGTTACAAGTGATAACTCCATCCTTTATGGTGTTACGTCTCTTCAATAAAGCATGATTCTTCACTACTGATACCTAGATTCTAAGACTGAGGAGACTCATATTTGCACTGTCCGTTTAAGGGCCTCACTTAACGTTGCACATGGGAATGTCACCTGACCTGGAGCTGATTACGTTATTTCACAGTGCAGAGCCTGTTCTTTTTTATCCATGAAATACTGAAGAATATTATCTATAATTTTGACACACAGATTTATTTTTGTTATGTCACAGTATTTTAACTCTAAATCTAATAAACCAAGACTTTTCATTTCATGGCTAGTAAAATGCTGATTTCTTTTCAGTGTAATCTGATTCCTTAGTAATTGATCTGAGTTTTAGGAACAGTCAGCTGGAGTCATCTCCTAAGGCCGGGTACAGAGTCACCTGTGGGCGTTCACAGTTGGGGCTTTGATTGTTCTGCAAACCTGTGTGTCCTATGCCATACACTGCCATGTGCTGTGTGTGCAGTCCGGGTGCTGCGGGGCTCACACACCTCAGCGGCAGAACCAGGCAGGACATACTGTTCCCCATGGGGTGTCACCTTGGGGCGCCCCCAGCCACTGTCTGGATGAGCCTGTTTCCTGCCCCTAAAGGGGCTTGCAGCCGCTGCCCTGGGACCCTTTCTTCCTTCTCCCCTTGGGTCCCGCCTGGGGACTGCTGCTCTCCATGGTCACCAGGGCACAGGGTGGCAGGAGGCTGTCAGCAGGGGAGGAGGCTTCCTGTCAGGCTGCTCATGTCGGGTGCTGCCTGGCAGCCATGAGCCATGGCTGCTCTCTCCTCTGGAGAGGGTGATGCTCCTGCTGCAGCCAGCAAGCGCCGCGGTCCCCAGGCTGCTGCGAACACCTGGGCGCCAGTGCAGCCAGGAGGCCCGCTCTGTGCTGTGTGCCAGGCTGTGTTTTCTCAGGGCATTTCAGTAGTGTTTAAGCATCTTCAAATACTTGCATTTTTCCCCCTTTAAGATCTTTGGTTTCTTTTTATTATAAAATCAATATAAATGCCTTTAAAATTGCAGTAAGGCTGGAGGACCTAGGAGGCCTGGAAGTGTAGGTAAGCAAGGCAGTCTCAGCATGCTCCCAGGTGCTGTGAGCTCCAGGGCACAAAGGCCAGCCCTGCTCCCGCTCCTCCTGAGGCCACCAGAGCCACGAGCGCCCGTGTGCAGCCTCGTACCCTTCTGTGTTTTCTCTGAGAGGAAAAGCAGTGAGCTGGCACGTGTGTGTCTCGTTCTTCCCACAGCCATCTTAGGGCAAGTTCCCGACAGAAAACAAAAGATGTGAGCAGAAGACCCTGCTTATCCTTACAGCTTTTGGTAGCCACTACATCCTCTCGCTGCTCCCGGAGCCGCTCGGATCAGCACCCTTCCGGGCCACACACAGTTGTGCAGTAACTCAGGAAAAGCTTTACTTTTACTGTGAAAATTATATTGTGCTACTATTTACCCTTCAACGTTAACATGCATGAGCACAGCCTTCTGCTGATTTTAGCTGCTGATTCAAGTTGTCTTTGTTCAGTCTATACCAACAGATTATTATAAATGCTGTTAGGAAGCCCTCTATACATCTTAGGCACTAATGACTCAGTGTTACACACAAGTAAATTTATGTGTTATGTATCTCTTAATTTTTGTATTGCTAACAATTCCTAACTTTCCTATAAAAAATTTACATCTGTTATACTTGAATCTATTGATTAGTAGTTCTATAATTTCTCTAACCACTTAGAGACTCCTTGTTTACATTTTAATTTCTCATTTATACTTCCTGTTTTATATTTACATTTACTCAGAGGTATCATATTAATATAGTAGCTATTGATGTGTATATTTAATTTTTAAAAATAAGGAGTCAGTAGCTATAGTACAATTTTCAGTAAGTATTCTTTTTTCTAACACTTGCTTGAAAACATTGATGTTGTTTTAATAAATCTATTATATACAGTGTTATGTGAGTGTACTCTTAAAAATTATGTAAGTTTCCCCATCCAGTTCCCTTCCTTACCCCCATATTAAATTAGAAAGCCGTTTCATTGCTTTGTTTTAAATACAGATAAATTTTGGCAACAGTTCTGTCTAGCTGCCATGCCGAGAACTTTCTTCCTTAGATAAAGTGAGTTTTCCTCACCATGGTACTTTCCGATTTTAGAGCACAATATCTTAATGCCCAGCCCCTCCGGCAGCAGCTGAGCTTTAACTGCAACTGAACTGACTGCATTTCCCGCAGGGACTCACCTTTGGCTGGGGTACCGGTGACAAAGTCCCGGGCCCTGGCCCGCCCCTCAGTCTGCTTAGTTACTTTCTTTGTTGCTGACTTGAAACACCCAGCACCACAAGGTAAGGGAGGGAAGGATTATTTGGCTCACGGTTCATAGAGGTTTCTGTTCACGGCTGGTGCGCTCCACAGCAGCACGGCGTTGCAGAGGAGAAACAGTTCATGGCAGGCAGCAGGCAGCAAAGCAGTCAAGGGCCAAGCTGAGCCTCTCTTCCCCTTGTGCTGTATCCAGGCTACCATTAGGGCTGTGCCAAACCAATCAGTGGGCTGCTTTAGCAATCACCATTCTAGATCACACAGTGGATCTGGCCACCTCTAAAAGAGTGCTACCTGTGACCACACAGCGGGATATCAGGATGCAGCCATAACAGTGGCAAGATGTCCCTTCCCCCTTTCCCACTGCTCTTCTGTTCTGAGCGACTTGCCGTTGCTGGAGACCTGCACTTGCAAGCACTAATATAGCCTTCCTGTGCACATGAAGCAAATGATAGTCTGGCTCACTCAAGCACAGTTTCGGTGTGCACAGCAGAGGGGATTTGCTCATTAGCTCAGAAGTGGAGAAGATTCTCACAGTTCCTCCTGAGAAGATTCCTCAGGAGTTAGGGGTTCTGCTATCTCCACAAGGAGCTCAGCTTTCCAGAGGGGCCACGCTGGCCTTTCACAGAAAGACACAGCCTGCACCAGCTGCAGCACCAATCAGCAACTCCGCTCCAGGGTTTGCATTTCCAGGTCACAGATTTTTACCTCTGAAATTTAAAAATCCTAGAAAATAGATCAACTCAAAATGTATGTCATTGGAGATGACATCTCATTAAAATCATGTTTTTGAAAATTTAGGAGAGAAACAGAACTGGCTGAATGATCTACCAAACCTTGGGTTAATACACAAAGCCCATAATTGATGACAGCAAGTTTTCTGTCTGTTCCACAGAGCACGCTGTGCGTTCCAAGAGGGGGAGGACTTGTGGGAGTTCACTAGTGAGTCATGAAATGCCAGGTGTTTACGATATCTCGGGTCCTGCAGGGACGGAGGGGAGTGGAGAGGAGGGCGGGGCCGGATCTCAGGGCTGAACCCCACAAACAGGACACAGAAACAGCACAGCAGAGTTGTGATGAAGTGTTGCACAATATGTGTGGAGTCAAAGGCATAATTTCTTCCTGTCAGGAGATTAAAGAGAACAATAAAATAGTGAGTCATTGGTGTGACAATCTGTAAAAGCCACTTTAAGTGCAGTTCAAGCATTAGCAAGAATGCAGTTATGTAGAGGAAATCCAGCTATCAATGGGAGCCGAAGGTTCCGCCCTGTCAGGCCGTAACCTTGGGCTGCTCGCTCTCAGAGTGTTACACAGCAAAAGCTGCAGAGTATTACCGCTCCGCAGCATGGCAGTCATCTGTAACGCTGCTAGTAACTCTTCACACCTCAGCGTTCAAGGACCTCTGCATCCGCCCCAGTACGCCGTGCACCAGCCCTTGACTTGACATGGGAGGTGGATGAGTTAACACAGGAAGCAGCCTGCTCAGAGACAAGAATCTGTGCTGGACAGCCAGCATCTGGAGATCTAAGACGTACTTAAACTTTTTAAAAAACTTCAATAAAGTGATGGAAAGGCAATAAATACATGTAGGTGTTCAATCCGAGGTAGTGTTTTGTATTGGTACCAGTGTGTGTTTACAGTGCAGTGTGCCTACACCCATCATCCACTGGTACACACATGTGCAATGACCTCAATTCTTGTTATGTGGCTTTCTCTTCTCACCCCGTCCCCTGCACCATGGGCCTTTCCTTATCAAGGCTGCCATTTCTGTTGGACACTTTCAAACCAGACCAGTGTAAATGCATGTGTTTCCAGAGGAAATCTCCCAAGGCTGGTAAGAATGTAAATAAACTAGAGGTTGGTTTGTGTTATGGTAGCACTGAAAATGTCTGGGCCTTTACAATAAATCCATCAAGGAATGAAAACTGCACATCCAGTGAGCAGAGGAAGGGCCGCAGACCAGCACACAGGAGCCTGCGGTGTGGCAGGGTAGCAGAGTCGGCCTGGTGGCCACCACCTCCCTCCTCCTGGATCTGCTCTACAAGCAGCCTGTGGCACCAGGTGTCCCTGGCCGCTACCCAGGTGCATCAGATGCTTGCAGGTTCCTGGGCCCAGGAGCCAGAGATGATCCTTTTCCTCTTCTCATATTTCCAGAGTTAGAAGCATTTTTCCTATGCATTTCTCACACAGAAACGCAGCACGGAGGGCACTCACTGGGAATAAGTTAATTTAGCGGGCTCTGCCTCCCTGATAGATAGTCGCGGGCAGGTGTGCAGATGGGCGTCTTCTGCTTTCCTCATGGTGCCAGCTCGTGCTGCTGGTGCTGACGTTACTGTGCTTCACTGTGCTTCCCCATCGCACCCTGTGAAGCACCGCAGCCCTGGCTGTCCTGGACATGGTTCCTGGCTTACACGGGTCCAGCCAGGCAAGCCTTGTGTGTCACTTCTCTGTCAGTGCTGCGGCTTCCAAGCAGAAATCACCCCACCTCTTCAGGAGGCTCTTTAGTTCATTGTGCTTTCTTTTCCACCAAGCCGCATTGCCACACTGCAGGGTACCAAAGAACGGCAAATATTTCCACAGAAGTCACCATCTAAGTAACACACTCACAGGATCACACTTCAGCCTGTGCTCAAAGGGAGTCAGCTGCAATGTGGTGCACTGGCTGGGGTCCCACTGGTTAAGGCTCGGATGCCCCTGGCTGTCACCAGGCCTTTGAATGCCTGGCTGCAGGGTCCATGTGTGTGCAGATCACGTCCTGGGGAGGCTGAGGCAGCAGTGGCCTCCTCCTGGGAGAGCCACGCTCTTCTGCAGCACAGGTGGCAGCGTGCACTGCAGTTCTGTTTGTGCATAGCAGCTGTCCAGCCTGCACCACTGCTCTGAGATGGACATGCTGCTTCGTACCCGCAGTGGGCCCAATGCGGCCCGCAGAGCTCTGTCAGTGGGGAGTTGCAGGTGTCCACCTGTCCTCCATTGCTTTCTATTCCTAGCTGTGCACTGGGAGAGGAATGCACTGTGCCAGAGGCTCAGTTAGACTTGAGGAGACCGAGTGCAGAGCTTGAGGCCGTGGTCTGAGGGCTGTTGCCCTTCCTGTGGCTGACGGTGCCGTGTCTGATGGCAGAGAGAAGACATGTTTCAGGTTTTAAGTGAACCGGGTTGCCTGTTTGCCTTTGCTCCCAGCCGGGTTTTAATCTCTTGCCTCTGTTTCTCCATTGCCACAGCTGAAGCCGGATGAGCGGGTTATCAAGACCGAGTTCGGGCTCCTGATCCGCAGCCTGCAGAGGAGGGACTCGGGCGTGTACACCTGCCAGGCCCAGGAGCACAGCTTTGTGCACACCGTGGCCAGGCTCACCCTGACCGTCATCGAGAGCCAGCAGATGGAGGGCACCCAGCGTGTGGAGCTCGAGGAGGGCCCAGCCAAGGACCTGCTGACCGAGTCACAGCTACGCTACAAGGACTACCTGCAGCTCCTCAGCAGCCCGAGCTTCAGCCTGGACCAGTACTGCGAGCAGATGTGGCACCGGGAGAAGCGGCGGCAGCGGACCAAGGGCAGCCCCAAGTGGAAGCACGTGCAGGAGATGAAGAAGAAACGCAACCGCAGGCACCACCGGGACCTGAGCGGGCTGCCGGGGGCCGTGGCCACGTAGCCGCGTGGTCAGCGGAGAGACGATGTCATGCTGCCGAGATGCCGCCTTCCGCACTGTGCGACCTCTCCCTCCCCTGTAAACGCTTTCCCTGGGCTTTCGGACTCTGACAAATGTGCTCTGGGCAGGGGACACGGGACTCATGGGAACCGCTGCCCTCGGGGCAGAGAACACTCAAGTCTTCAGAGCATAAGCATCATCCTCCCAACGGCGCTTTGCATCTGCCAGTGCCCTCCTCTGGGTTTTCTTGTTCATGCTGTCCTGTACAGAAGTGAGCGAGGGAAGCATCCGCCTTGGTACAGGCTGAGGTGCATTCTTCTTCCCCCCTCTCCCCTTGTGAGTTCTCTGACATGGCGCTCACTATGCGGTTAAGCTGTGTTCCCGGGACCAGAAGAGTTGCTCCACCCTGGACCTGCTATCTTGGGTAGGAATTGGAGGAGACTCAGAGGTTCAGTCCGCTCCTATCGTTACCTGAGACTGTCCTGGGAGAGTCACTTGGAGCCTGACTTGGGAGTGTGCAGGGCTCCAGCATTTCTTCCAGGCTCCAGGGTGCCATTTAGCTCACTGCAGCACTGACTTAGAGAAGGACATTAACACTGCTCCCAGGATCCCTCGTGATTTTTAAGGAGAAGCAGGCTCACGGACAGCAATCCGGGCCCGGGGATGGGTTCCTGGGATATGTGCTGAGTGCTACAGGAACGGAACGCTTGATGCATACTTTAGTAAGAATGGGACCATATTTTAATAAAATAAGGGAAGTATCCTCATGTGCACAGCTTTCTAATGGCTTTCCATGCAGATGGGATTTGTTAGGAGACAGACGCAAAGACAACCATAAATTCTGGCTGTGGGGAAAGCTCCGATTCCCATGAAAAAAAGAACAATCACAAATAAAGTAGACAGAATGAAATGGGGCTTTCGTCACAGGAATATAGGTAGCTGCCAATTTGCAATTCATCTGTTAAAAAAGATATATATTATGACAAACTTCTAGCAAAACTCTGAAGAAAAATAAAAAAGTATTAGGGACCAGGGGAGGGATGGGCATATTTTATTTTTTAAGGACGAGTATGGGCTTCCTCCCTCTAAGTATTTATCTCCTCTGTGTATAATCTCCATTGTTTCCTTTATTACCCCAGGCATGTGGGATTACTGGATTACATTTGAGTGAATGAGGAGAAACCACGTAGATTCCATAGAGAACTTGGGAGACAGCTGTGTTGGGTTGGGGTTAGATACCCCGGTCAACAAAACTTGTGCAAAATTTTGACAACAGGAAGCATTGAGCTAACTCTCCTCATTTTCTTGAGGCAACATTTTTGAATTTCTGAGGTGTTATGTTGTAATTCAAGTGGCATTGTTTCAGCAATAACAGTGACTCAGGCTCCCACGTGTAAAGAAGCAGCCTCACAACTCAGCAGGACACCTTTCCTATCTGTGGGCCCGGTGCAGCATTCATAGCTCAGCTTCCCCTGAAGGAGTGCAGGGCAGCCCTGCCCGTCTGAGTAGGGCTCATCTTCCCTTCCACCCCACAATCCCTAGACCTCTTCTGCTCCGCCTGTTCGCGCCCTCCAGAGTATCGACAGAAAATCAGTCACTGCCTCCTAGAAGAGGCAGAAGGCTCTTCAAACAGCGAAACGGCACTCAGCCGTGTTCTCACCCATCCTCCAAGTCCTACGAGAACCTCTGTGCGTCCCTTGTGTAGACTCACTACATGTGTGACAGCCTGTGCTCCCAGTGTGTTTGGCCTTTGTTTTCTTTGCTTTTCGTCTCTTTCAAAGTAGTCACCCTAGTCTGTGAGGCCCAGCACCCTCTTTTTGATATTGCTGTCATGCATGTTGGTAGATACTTCACTATAAGAAGCAATAAAGTAACAACTTTGGTAACAGTGAACCCGAAGGAACTCTACCAAGCAGTGCGTAAGAAGACAGGTAGCAGGATCGGACTACGCCCTGAGTGTAAGCCCTGGGTGGGTTTTTGCAGCTATGAATCTGGAAAGGTTAAATGTCCCAGGAGCTCAGAGCAGGCTCAAAGTGACTGCGTGGGACACAGTGCTGTGTGCATTTTCAAGGGTAGGGAGTTTGAACATTACAGCTGCCCTGTGCAGATACACTATATTCCAACACAAATGCTCACAACACTGTTAAATTGCTTCTCTCTATATTTAATTTCAGACCATACTTTGGGAACCTATTTTATGTTTTATGTATAAAAATCTGGCAGCTTTGGGTATAAAGCTATTAATTTATGGTAATTAGTTAAAGTATATTGAAAATACTAGTATAATACTATCTCATATAATAAAATGGGACAAATATTTATATGTATATTTTAAAGATAGAAAATATCTGAACCACTTTTAATTTTTCCACGTTTAGTTGCTCAGAACACCTACAGCAACTGTGTGATTATGTTCACCCTACAGAAATAGTAAATACTTTCTGGCCACTAATTTTGCCACATCTGTTTGGAAACAGTGAAAAAGCAACCACAGTTAATGCAGTGCTTTCCGACAGCCTAACAAATCGGCTCTCCAGGAAGCGGGCTTGCGAATGCTGGGTGTTTGGTTCTAGTGCATGTCTCTGTCTTCCTGTGTGTCTCCCCACACGGCATTCCAGTGACTTACATTGCTAAACGGAATTCTGGCTGTCAACATTCATTATGTCCAATTTACTAAGAATTTTAGGAGTATCTTTAGAAATGGATAGTTTAATTAACTGTGCAAAAGTTTTTCTTTCCTAAAAAGCTTAAAATCATTCAGGTGAATGAACAAAAATTTCAAAGCATCCATCAAATTACTCAAATAATAAAAAAAAACTTCATAGAAATAGTACTTTTCAAAAGTCACAACAGTAGAGAATTGTAATGCAGTCTCACCATTTTGTTGATTAATTCTCATAACATGCTGGCAAAAGTGGTTTTATTTCTGAACTATTCTTTGATCTGTATTTGGTTCTTCATAGGGTATTATGTTTTACTCTTGTTGAGTTGTGTGGACTGAACTAAAATATATGTTACCAAACTCAGTGCCTATTTTTGAATATTACCAAAACTGAACTTCTAACGGCAACTTGGTGTCATTCATGTTCAGAAAATAATAAAGTTAAGGAAAGTCATTCATTAAACCATGATCTTTGTCAAAGTTAAATATATTTCACACATGTAATTAAGACAAATGTAAATCAAAACTGACAGTCCTCCTTTTTAGAATGTCACATTTGTCTTAGACAACATGCTTTAATTGATTAATCTTGGATACTTCAGAAAAAAAGATATTTGAAATGTTTTTATAGAAAGATGCATTTTTCTCATGTGATAACAATATTTAAAGAGTTCAGCTGACACGTGAGGTTAAAGAGCTGAATTCTAACAGTCCCGTTTCTTCCCATAGGAAGTGCAGACAGGGGCGTGCATATGATTTATACCCCTCATGCAAATATTTGTAGTATGTAAAGTATTTATGGAAGGTTTGAGGTAGATGAAGTTTTGAGGGGAACAAAAGGGCAAAAGTCTGTCAGAAGCCATAATTAATCATGTAATTTAATCCTAATATTGTGAGTGGTTAGAAATCATCTTTGAATTGATAGTTTTGCTATTTTAAAAGGAATGTAGTACTGTAGTATAAAATAATTAAAATTTTAAATGTATATTTTGATTTTATTATAATAAACACAAATATTAATATTCTGTGATTACAAACTGAGTGTTGGTTTGTGTGCAAAGTTTGTATTTTTAACTCCAAATGATAGACAAATTTAACACATAGATGAAATTAAATAGAATATCAATGAAAATATTTCCTGAAAAACTTTAGAAGATATATTTTATGCCATTAGTGTGCAATAATTTCATCTGCTAAAGAACTGAATATCATGCGGCTGGGGGTTTATCTCAGCAGCACAAGCGCCTGCCCTGTTATGTGTGAGGTCATGAGTTCAGCCCCTGGAGCCAAAAAAAAAAAAAAAGAGAGAGAAAATAAAAGAAATGAATATCCCCTAATATGATTTAAGTATATATCAAGCTTTAATGCATTTTAATTAATGCATTTTAATTATATTTTGGTGGACTGAGATGAAATTAGTTTTTCTTAAGATAGGCATCATCACAAATAACTACTTCTTTTAAGGTTTCCAATTGACATCTAATGTGTAGAATTTTGAAATAATCATATATATATATATATATATATATAAAACTATAATGATCTTTCTCTAGATGTATATACACACAAACATACACATACACACAAGAAGTATATGTGTTCAATATAACTATCCATACCATCAGACATAACAAAATCAAACAAAACGGAACAGAATAAAAACAATCAAAACAAAACAATGAAAGTAATAAGAGACTTCAAAACAGGACAATAGGAAATCAACAACAGCTGCCATAATACATCTTGTTACCTTCAAAATAACTGTCAATACCATCAGACAGAATCAAAACAAAGCAGAATAAAACCAAACCAAACAATGAAAACGATACAGGACTTCAAAACAAGGTAACAGGGAATGAACAATGGCCACCACCCTCCCTCTTCAGGCGCCCCCACCCTTCACTTTCACAACATCTGCTGCACAATTTGGATCCCACTAACTCCTTCAGGTTTTTACACAAGGGAGGCAACAGGATGTTCAGCCACGTAGGTTCAAATCATTTCACCCATGAGCGTGGTCTCGAGCTGTATCCATTTACCTACAGGAGCCTCATGATTATCCTGCTTTCTAGCTGAGTAGCTTTGCATTGTATAAAATACCACATCTTCCTTATATTAGAAAATAAATAGCTGTGGATTTTAATGTTTATTTTATGGAGATGTATTTTGACTTTCTTGTAGGGAACACTGTATTTCTAATTTGGTACACACATATGTCTATTTGCAAATAGATATTATGTGCCTTGTGTGATGCTCAAGTAGCATAAGTGGATACTGTGTTGAAATAACAAGAAAAAAGGGAGAAATCACAAGTTTTCTGATCACGCTGATAAGCCTCAACTGTAACTTAACGAGGTCTTTAGCAAAACAAAGGACACTACATAAGACACTTCCTTTAGTTCATCTGCTCTGTCATGGCACACACCGTGACCAGGCAGTTCTAGGTGACAGAAATGCACTCGTACACCCGAGGCAGGGAAGCCCTTGCTCGAGCTAAGGGGCAACTCTGGGTCTGCAGAGGGCACTGCTGTCTGGCCTCTGCCTGTGTCCTCTGTAATGGAAGGGCAGGCTCATCTCCGTGGGGTGCCCCTTCAGGATTGGATCACCTCTCCAAGGCCTCACCCATTGCGCTGCCTTGGAGATCAGGATATCGAAGTATCGGGGATCAGAGGAAAACTTTTAATCAATAACTGAAGTCTGGTCCAAGATCAGGTTCAAATTGTTACTGTAAACACAGGATTAATAATCAAGGAACAGGGCATAGTGACACAGGATGGTAATCCCTGTACTCTGGGTACAGAGGAGGAGGATTGCTGTGAGTTCAAAGGCCAGCCTCAACTACATAGCAAGGCCTTGTCTCAAAGAAAACCAGTAACAATAATAGAGGAAAACTTGCAAAGAGGTCAGGTGCAGTTTGTTTCAGAAGCTCATCTGCGGAACCTACAGAGGATCAAGTCAGAAATGTAAGGATCCCAAGAGCCAGCTTTTATACCCTGCAGAATCTTCCCTAGGCCTGCAAGAATGCATTGCAGGATGAATTATAATAGAAAGTCTATAAAATAAAGACACAGAGTTGCAGCTGTTTCAGTAATTTATTCCCCTAAAAGTATAAAATCAATATACTAAAGTGCAAAATCTGACAAAGTTGGATATTGTGTTGCAATTTTAATATATCCCAATTTTCTGGGAGACTGAGGCAGGCAGATGACGGGTTCAAGCCCAGCCTGGGTGACTTAAGAGTCAGAGCAAGACCCTGTCTCAAGTATTTTTGAGTTTGACGATTTTTTGAGACAAGTTCTTACTGTATTCCAGACTGTCCTTGAATTCACAACGTAGCCCATGCTAACCTTGAACCCCTGGCAAACCTCCTGCCTCAACCCACTGAGTGCTGGGATTCAAGGAGTTCCTGGCCCAACTTCAAAATAAAACATTAAGAAAGGGCCGGGGTTGTATCTTAATTTCAAAGCTCTTGGTTCAATTCCCAGTGCTGAAAATAGGCACACCCACAGGTACACACACACATATAGTTACACACACAGGCACACACAAGCACACGGGCATACACAGAGGCACGCGCACAGGCACACACAGAAGAGGGAATGTGAGTGGTCCGCCACCCTACGGTAGAGCAGCCCTCTCTCTCGTTCCGCTGGGGTGTAGAGAGCAGGCTTCCTGTTGGACTCGAGACTTAAAACAGTGTCAGTGAGGCCAGTGGATGCCTTGCGGGTCCAGACCCAGCACAGTCCTCCCCTGTGGATCTGGCTACTACTCCTGGGCACCTGGGATGGGAAGCCACATACTCAGCCATCACAGGCTCCAATCAGCTGTGTTCTCCTTCTCTGCAGTTAACATCAGATTTATACAGTAACTAGTGCTCTTTATGTGACCATAAGGGAAAGAGAAATATTTACACCTTGCTGAGTGAGTTCACAGCACTAAATGTCTTTAAATGCTTGCATGAGTCATTGTTTTCTGAGGGAGATTCTGTACCCATTCCCTCTTTAAATTCCCTGTAAAACTTGTGCTCACGTGCAGGGTGAGGCCAACACAGCCCACCTTCTGCCGCTGAGAGGCTCAGTTCCGAGGACCCCTGCTGGTAAGAGTCCCGTGTGTTTGAATAAGTGTTCTAGCCACTTAAGTGGGCACATACAGAGAGTACTGATTTAAAAGTGCATAAACCTACATAAGGAAAAAATGAATCCAATTTACTATGGAGGAAATTCTCATTTAGAACCAGGAAAAGGGTTGTTTCACGGGCCATCTCCCTCCAAGCTTTTAATATATTGAAACAGATTACTACTGGGCAATTATCTTCAATTATTTGATTATCTTATAATTGTAGCTCTTTCTTTCAGGTTATTTTTCCTACCGAAAAACAAATAAACAAAAACTTTGACTCTCCTGAGTGATTTATGTAGTTGTAGTTTCTCTTCTATAAACATTTCCAAATACAGGCAACGTTAAGGTGGGGATCACTGCACTTTCTTCATGCGTGGAAATGAGACAATTCTGGACCAAAAGGGAAGGGTCTATCTGAAAAACTGGTTCAGACCAGATGGCTTCAGTCTGTAGACTGGGGCGATGTTTGGGGCACGTGAAGATCAATGAATCCGTAAGATCTGCTCACCTGTGAGACAGACGTGTAATGCACAACACGACACACTGTCCACACGGAGCGTTCCAATGACAGTGCTGCCTCAGGAGCACAGGCAGGACACAGGCACCGGGGACCATGGTGTCAGCAGGGAGCTCTCCGAGTCTGAGGTGTTTGTTGGTGAGCAGTTTGATTTATGGGTTTCATGCTCAAATTGGGATAATTTTGGCTGCCAGCTCCTCGACGGAGAGAAGCTGTACTGGGGAAAGCAGCAAAGGTGGAAGCCAGCGGGCTGCCATGGGTGGCCCTCATTAGCCTACGCCGGGCTGTGAAGCAGTCAGCAACGTCCTGCGTCCCAGTGAGACTGAGCTAGGTATCAAAAAGCTCAAGATTGAAGACTTTATTTCTAGGGCCAGAAACAGTGTTTGGTTTATTTGTTTTTAGTAGTGTGTTTCCAGCTCATAATGAGGGGTATTTTGGGGGTTGGTACCTGCAGATAAAACATCTCAATTCTTACAGAAACTAAGTACTTTGAAGACTAAATCTTTATACTCAATATTTAGTTCAATTTGTAGTCACTCAGAAGACCTGTGGTTCAAAAGGACAAAAAGAGACAGACTCCCACACTGTTGTCATTCATTGTCTAAGAACCTGGTGAGAGGAAAATTTCACCCAGTGGAAGTGTTTTCTAAAATTCCTGCACCATGGGCTTCTTTGTAAATCAAGTTGGTACATCAGCGGAGGTCTGTTTTCATTGTGAGTGTTCATCTGTTTGAAGGAAATCAGTTGCTACAAGCTGGTCCTGTGGGTCCTCCCAAGTCTTTGGTTGAGGAGTATCAGTGCTGCAAGCTCCCTTTCACACCAGGGGACCACAACCAGGGCTCCAGGAGGGTTCCTGAGTGTGAAAGGCCTCTGAGGACCCCATGAAGAGCTGGACTCAGTTGGTGTGGATGGATTTCTCGGGCAGGAAGACTCTGGATAAAGCTGTTCAAAGTGTGCCTTATTTCTGCCATCGCATTTCTCTCCATGGCTGTGCATACATCTTCCATGGAAACTTCCTGGACAGATCCTGTTCTAGACCTAAATCCCGAGGCTGCATGACAGCGAACAGAACTGTCTCGGCACCCGCTCCCCGTTGACGCCTGGAGGATGGGGCTGACCTGGGAAAACTGTTTACACATTTACCCATTAAACAGCCAAGGGAGTCACCAATAGAAATATTATGATGCACTCTTCAAAGGTGAACCATGTGATTTAAAAAAATAAAATGCTGACTCGTGAGAGTCTTACTTTTAATTTGAACCCAAGGTGATGTAATGAGTAGAAATCAGCTTTTCTGATCTTGCTTCTACAAAACAAACATTTCTAGCTATTAGTGAAATTTGGATCTCTTTCTTTTCTTTGTGACTGTATAAAACCAAAAGCAAGGAAAAAGCATCTATT